AAGTTTTAAGCCATATGCATTTAACAGTATAGAATATAAGTATATCATATTAGATTTTACATAAATTAATGTAGAAATCATTCATCATAGCCCCAAGTTTTTTTTTMAACTTGTACAGATACATTATGGATTATTATACCCTTAAAGAATGAATTGAATAAAATTATTATAACCCTTATGTTAAGTCTTAGCAAAGCAATGTTAAGAGGATGCTACACCCGCATATGTTGTTCTCTGTCTTACAAACGTGTAACATGGCAAATTTTATCCTCAGCAGATCACATTTAGCTCCGTTAGTTTAAAATTTAGAGTAAATTGACCTCTTATAAAAATTAAWGGTAACATTATTATTGAGGGCATCTCGTAGGCTTTTTATTGTATTTCAATTTTAAAGTGAGTTATGTGTATTTTAAAATTCTAAATTGTTTATGTACCTTAAAATACTCATAACTCACTTTAAAATTGAAATATAATAAAAAGCCTACGAGGTGCCCTCGATAATAATGTTACCTTTAATTTTTCTAAGAGGTCAATTTACTCTAAATTTTAAACTAACGGAGCTAAACGTGATCTGCTTAGCATAAAATTTGGTATATTACGCACTTGTAAGACAGTGACAACATATACGGGTGTAGCGTCCTCTTAAATAATTTCTACTCTATTAGAATATTAAATATGGTTTGTAAATACAATATTATAAATGATAATTAAAAGTGACAATGATTCTTTTAATAACTTAACAATCAATTATTTGTACAATATTGAACACAAATGTTTTATATAAAAATTATATTCCAATTAAATAATAAATAATAGTGTTAAATTAAATTTATTTTCTAAACATTTATATTTCAACTATAAAATTTAAGGCACACACAAAATACATATCAAATCAAGTAAACAAACCTTTTTAAACGAATTGTGTCGTGGACGCAATTAGTGTTAGCTTTTCATCCACGGTTAATTATTTAAAATGGTTCCTAAAGTTATATGCCACGGTAAAAATGTAAGGTTAAATTTAAAAAATTTAACTGTAAAATATAATACCATAATATAAAAATCGTCATTATTATATATTTTTAAAGAAAAATTGTAAAAAATTTATATCATAAGTAGTATAAATCATAAATCAATCACAAAATTAATTTAGTTTTTTCTATGTTTATATTTATTGGCTGATGTGCTAACATAATTTTTAATTGTGATTTTATTATTTTAAAGATTTATTTTATTTAAATAGTATTTTTATTGTCTTATTGGTTTTCTGGGTTTCCGTCGTTTTTATCAATATTATAGCATCGGATTGCATATTTTTAAAAATTCTAAAAATAAATTTATGTTTGGATGAGGAGAATCAAAAAACTTGTTAAATTTCGAATGAAAAAATTTGCAAGCGTTGGTATGGTGAACTTGAACTTTTTTCTGCCCAAAACTACAGTAAAAATATTGAATTTTCATTTATACATGTATCTACTAAATAACTTTTTCATGTAATAATATTATGTTCATGATGAATATTTAATTTTTTTTTGTTATTAATGTTAGTTTTAAAAAAATTTATAAATACTATCGAAATTTAAATTTAATTTGGAAACCACTGGGAACCACTAAAAACAATGTTGAATGAAAAGTATCACAAATTGCGTCCAGGACACATCAAACGCAATTCATTTCTAAAGGTTTGTTTAACTGACTTGATACGCAATTCATGTGCACCGAAACATAACACCAATCCATTTCATAAAATAACAATTAATAATAACATWAAATAAAATAAACTAATCMAAAAGCTAACTATTTTTGTAATAAAAACTAAAAAGTTGTACATTTTTACAACAAAATAAATAATAACATTAAAATTAAATTTAAAACTATTTAAAAAAAACCTTTGAGTGTCAATGCTCAACAAATGCACTAAATACATAAGCTGGTAACTTTTCAAATGTATCTCAATTAAAATCAAAAGATTGATGCTCAAGACTTAACTTCTAAACTACATTTCATTTCTATCATTTTATTGATGTTCTCTGCTCGTATTTTGAATTGCTCAAACATATCTGATGATAGTTCTTCTTTAGTAGTATAACGACATTTATCAAAGCTGAATATATCACGCATTAGCTCAATGACTTGATCCTAGAACATTAAAAATAAAATACAYCTGATACAACCTTTATAAAAATATTAACTTAATTGAACATAAATGAATCTGCAWTGTACATTTATGTTTAATCAAGTTAATATTTTTAGTAGTAAATTACACTAGGTGATTTAATTCATTGATATTTACGTACTTTAAAAAATAAACATATTCTGCTCAGTTCTTCATCAGGACCTAGAAAGCCCCACGCAAGTAAAGGTGACATTTGTTCAGATATGTTATAAAAATGATGCATAAAACCATTTGGATATTTCAATTTACTACGTTTCGCACGGAGAACAGACCATACTGCAGTTGATAAAGCCTAAGACAGACAAATACAGTTAATATTACATCGAAAAAATTCTTAGATCATATAAAATGGATAGAGCAATCACTCATTCTTACTCTATATAAACAATTGAAGCCAACATAATACTAATATTTATTACATCAGAGCATATGARAATGTGTAGCAAATTCTTTCCAATGTGTATAAGTAGTTGAGAATGATATATATGTATTAAAGGCTAAAGCATAATATTTTTCTATATTTTGCAATAGAAATTTATTGCGTATATTGACTTATAAAATGCAC